CTAAAGGGTTAATTTTGAGTCTTTTGACTGTGGACGAGAAGCCCTGGTCACACAAACGGTAAGCAATAATAATAACATAAAAAAGGGTGGTAACGCTTAAAGCTTAAAAATGCCTCAAAAGTAATTTTAAAAGTGAAAAAAAAAAACCAAAGGAGAAAGTTACCTCAAAGTGTAGGAAATTTTGCTAAGAAAAACTAATTAATCCAACTTGCATATGGTGACTTTTTCGATACTCCAAAAAGAGAAACTATATATGTATATACATATTCAAAATTGTACGAAAAGGGAAAAAAATGAATGTAACGAACACGGACTCACGTGAGTAGAGAGACATAATGAGCCTTAGCTTCAATGTTATAATATACTCGAATTATCACTAATTTAAGATATCCTTACAAGCATGCATCATACATATAAATATACTATGTGTGCATGTATGGATTTATATATTTTATGGATTACAAACACAAGCACAGCCATAATCACTCGTTTATGGATATGTTAGTTTTAATTCAAGATCAATGGAAATAATCATGACTGTTACATGGTATAACTTCAAACGTTTAGTTTTTTCTTTTGGTAAATATGAATACTATTAGTTATATTCAAATTTGTTTTGAAGAACTCAGTTTTCTGTCGGAGTCCTATTAGAATATTTAATCCAGATTACGTATTTGATGAGTGAAATTCTAAAAAATAATTATAAAATTTGCTAGATCAGTCGCAACGAATTACAAATTATTTTAAATAGTCCATGCATAGACCAAGAACTGAACTGAATATATATGTAATTCACGTAGAAAATGGGTCAAGATTATATAAATATTTTTGAACAATACATGAAAAAGTAATATTAAAAAAAAAAATCAGTTCTTAAACTAGTTCTTCCCCAAGTTCAGTTAAGTGTCATGGTGATTACTATAGACTAGCTAATAAATCAAACTGAAAATTGAAATTATTCTTCTTGCTAATTTGATTTTATGGCCGAAATACAATCTAATATGAAGATTAACGATCACCTTTATTAATAATGTCTTATGTATCTAATAGAAATCATTTGTTCATATTTTACCAACAGAACAAAACAAAATAATTGGACTACAACTGTTGTTTAATAGATTTTAAAATCCACGGTAGAGTATGTATGCATCTCATATAATATATATTTCATGTGGGTAATGATGGTGTGATCATTCAAAACAAAAGGCTTAAGGATGGAGCGGTTCCCATACTTTTTGTGTGAATAAGTATAGAATAAAATAATTAAAGCAGTTAAATATATATGCTCCTATGTAAGTATGTATCTATGTTATCAAATAAAAGAACAATATGATAGTAAGTATTATTGGAACCGAATAAGGATTATTGTAGTGGTAACCTTATTGAAACCCTCTTGGGACAATGTCTTTTCACGTCACAAAAGCGAAAGCCAAAACATTAAATTACTTTCTTTTACAAAAACCTCATTTATAACTATTT